AGACCCTTATGTTGAAAGAAGAAGAAGTAATTAAAATTATGAGAGAATCGTTTGAGAAAGATAAGCACAAGCTCGAAGATGAAAAACGACAAAGTGCAGATGCAGAGATACGTGTAACGTTATGGGCCAACGAATTAGAAACGGAAATTGAAAAATTACAAACGGACTTAACAAATCGAGAGAGCGTCCATAATCAACTGCAAGACAAGATTCATCTGTTGGAGCATCGTTTAAAGGAAAGCGGCTGCGAGAAGGAAGCACTTAAAGAAAAAATGGAGACTCTTGAAATTGATTTCAACAATTTGCAAGCCGAATTCGATAAACATTGTAAGGCACGAGACGAAGAAGCGTTTATCGTAGCGCAAAAACGGGAAAAAAACGCAGAGGAAGCTTTTAAAAAGAAGGAAATCGAACTTCAGTCTAAAATGAAATCTGAGAAAGCGGTGTACGATAAAAAGATAGAAAATCTTGTTTGCAGTATAGAATCTTATAAGACGAAAAATATGGAATTGAAGAGCACCATCGAAGGTCTCGAAGCGAATCATAATCAGTTAAAGAACATCATAGAAGCAAACGCGTCCGAATTGAAAATGAATAATCAAACTATAAGTAAATTGACCGCCGAGCTCGAACAACTTACGCAAGCTTACAATGAGTTGAGCCACGATGCGGATAATAAATCGTCGCAAATCGAAAATATCACCGCACATCTAAAAACTAAGTGCGATATGCTGTCGGAATACAAAGCTAAATTTGATACAATCATGCCAGATTACGAAATGCTAAAGGAACAAAGTAAGGAGCGAAGAATAAGCATCGGTCGATACAAGGAAGAGATAGAAGAATTGAAAATGGAGAAAGAAAAACAGATAGAAATAATCAAGGATAAATTGAATTCTGAAGAAATAAAAAATGTTGGACTGAATAAGCAGTTGAATGAATTGAATAACAGAAACATTACTTTGGTAGAGGAGCTGGACTGTCTGAAAGAAAAATACGAAGACTTGCAATGCGCGAACGCGAAGTTGGATAGGAAGATTAGAAATAGCACGAGTAAGGTGAAAGCGGAGGAAGAGATGGATGACTTGAGAGATCTAAACAAACGATTGCAAAATAATTTAGAAGGTGCGAGTAATCGTATAACCGAACTTCAGGATAGTAAAACTAAAATTTTGAAGGAATTAGTTAATTTGAAGGGACAATACGAGTTGTTATCCCAAGAAAACGTTGAACTAACTAAAACATTATCGTCGTATAAATCCAGGCAAAGTATTCCATCGTTAGCTCAGGAAAATAGTAGATACGATGCTCTTCTCCAAGAGAAGAATAAACTTGCACTAGAATTAGAAAGTAACAAATTGTTATTAAACCAAAGAGACAAAGAGATTAAAGACTATGTAAATCGGGTGGAAGATTTAATTACTAAAAACAATGAACTCGACAAACAGCTGGAGGAACGCGCGGCAGTTATACGTGACCGCGATGCAGAAATCTCAAGTCTAAAGGACAAACTGTATGTTCATCAAATAGAAAACAAATTGGTCAACGAATTGGAGGAGAAACTAAAAGTACTCAAGGAGGAAAACAAAAAACTTCAGGACCAATTTGAAATGATAAAAACAGGATCACAGATCGATATAAAGCAATTGGGTGATCTGAAAATGCACAATGAACAAGTTTTCCTTGCATTGAAAAAAGAGAATACAGAATTGCAAACCAAACTAATCGAATACGAAAATAAATTAGAATCGAAAAGCGACAGTAGCGGTTCGAGATCTGTAAGCCCAGCGTTTGAAATGATGAGAAGACGACATAGCAGATCCGAGGTAGTTAACCAAAAAAGGCAAATTGAAAATTGGACGTCTGATACCTGTGAAAACGAAGAAATCTACCAAATGTTTAGGAAACAGATTGAAGAATTAGAATTGAAGTTGGTCGCGAAAAATGGACAGATCGCTGCGTTAGAGATTCAAATCCAAAGTGAAAACTTCCCTTACCAACAAAAATGCAAGGAATTAGAAGAGCATCTACTCTCGTTACGTGAAAAAGTACGTATAGTAAAAATATTTTTTACTCTTTATTAAATAAAACCAATCGGAAATGTACGTTTTTGTCTCCAATAGAACACAAAACTTCGCGTCGAGCTATCGAATCTTAGAAAGGCTATGTATGAAATTAACGCGTGGGAATGCGATACATGCAGAAACTGGCGAATAAATAGAAAAAATCAAGGTTGCCAAACGATATCTAATAATACAGCACAAGGTTTAAATGGAGCAGTCAATGTAAGAGAAAATGCAAAATATACACTGATTTTCATCAATACTAATTACAACATTAATTCCATAGGATCAGGCAAAAATAATAAGGTTGGAAAAAGAAAAGGCATTAATAAAAGATATATGTCGTTCACGATGTAGACAAATAAAAGAATTGGAAGATAGAATAAGAGAATTAGAAGAATATATATAAAAGACATTTATTTGACGTACCAATTTCATTTAAAGAGACAACAAACAATTTAATTTAAAGAGAAATATGAAACTACGAGGAACATAGTTTCTAGGAATATTTTGACTGCAATTTCTATAATTTATTTATTTCTTCGTATATACAATGGGATGTAAATTGTTGTTATTAATTGATGATACCAAATAAGGAAAATATGTATGTTTGATTTTTACAACTAGTAACATTTAGTAATACAGGAACTACTCCACATGTATATGCATGTTTAGAATTTGCATGATCATAGTTTACTATCGCATTTCTTATTTTATTTCATCAAAAATGTTGTTTTTGACTTGTTTACATTTATATTATATTATTACGTTTCCAGCTAATTTATTGGAACATGTGAAATCTTTCAACTATGGAAGAAACATACATACGAAAGAAATGGTAAAGAATGTCTTCCAAATATACCATTAAAAAAAATGTGTAATAGTAGCACGAAGTATTGTTAGATGTAAACTATTCATTCTCCAAGTATTAACATTCTTTCATTCCTTCTTCTAAGACAATGTAAATAGTAGTAAAATTAAGATATTTATATTTTCGCAGAATTATATTTTTGTACTTTCTTACGATAGTATAAGTAATGGTATAATTAGTTTTTATATATATTATGACGTTAAAGGTGGCTATACGCGTATTACTCTGTTTATATATACATATATCTTTCACGCCGGCTTTACAATAATAACTAATTGTGATTCTGAAAAAAATTCACATAGTAATTGTATAAATTGATACTTAATGAAACATGCCATGTATTAGTAGTTCTTCCTGAGTTCGCATTTAAGTTATGTAAATTGTTTAATTATGACGTATATGATTAATAAAATGCATTATTTCGTACTACACTTATTAATGTTATTAGGTCGATTTATGATGATACAAAAAATTGTTTTAGAAATACGGTCATTAAAATACAAGAACCAATTATTTCTTTATTTTTCAATAAATGCATAATTAATACAATTCTTTACTTTATAACGTTACGATACATTAGTTAATGTGTCAGATTTATCATTATTATGAATAGTTATTTAATTTAACTATAATTATCGACCCTTTAGCAAGTGGCGCCATTCAGCGGGAACGATGGAAACTAGTTTTACTACAAACTTAGACGTTTTACCGCCGATGGCGCCATTGATGCTAAAATCTGCTCATAGAGCGGCTTAGTGAGCGGTGAGGAATGAGGACATTCTGCTTGCTCCAAGTCGGCTCACGCGTTGTTTACAGTATACGAAGGAAACATTAACGCATTTTACGGTGTGATAATTGTGTAAAACAAACTAAGAACCGAAAATGGATTTTCAAAATCGGCCAGGAGGCAAAACTGGAGGCGGTGGTGTTGCCTCATGGTCGGAAAGCAATCGTGACAGAAGGGAACGTTTACGACAACTTGCATTGGAAACAATCGACTTAAACAAGGATCCTTATTTTATGAAAAATCATTTAGGCTCTTATGAATGCAAATTGTGTTTAACGCTTCATAATAACGAGGGCAGTTATTTAGCCCACACTCAAGGCAAAAAGCATCAGGCTAATTTGGCTCGAAGAGCTGCCAAGGAAGCCAAGGAAGCACCACAAACACTTGCTCCTGAAAAACCTCGAGTAGAGCCAAAAAAATTCGTTAAAATTGGAAGACCTGGCTACAGAGTAACCAAACAACGTGACCCAGAATCTGGGCAACAGAGTTTATTGTTTCAAGTTGATTATCCAGAAGTTGCAGATAATGTTATTCCACGACACAGGTTTATGTCAGCATACGAACAAAGAGTTGAACCACCAGACCGTAAATGGCAGTACTTACTGTTTGCTGCAGAACCCTATGAAACTATAGCTTTTAAAGTAAGTTCATAACAGATTAAAGAATGTACAATTATATAAGTACTTTTGTTCTTTAATATCTAATATATTTATGTTTAGGTTCCCAGTAGAGAAGTTGAAAAAGCAGAAGGAAAATTTTGGACCCATTGGAATAAAGACACTAAGCAGTTTTTCTTACAGTTTGCATTTAAAAACGAAAAACCGTCGGTTGGCAAAGTACCACCACCTCCAGTTCCTTTAATAAGACCTGGTTTAGGACCTCCTATGGTGCCAGTTCCACCTCCTCCAAGGCCTCCTATGTTTAATCCAGTACCTCCACCACCTGCACTTTTAGCTACAGGTATGCAAATACCACCACCACCACCACATCTAGCATAATACCTTTTTAAAACAAGTATGAAGTATATCTATAAATTTGAAATGTACATTTTTATTCAAAGCAAACTCCTATGCTATTCGAATGTGTACCTTGTACATAAGAAAATGTATTTCTTATCTGAACAATTATAATTAACGAATAAACCCTCGATTATTTTGTACAAGTAAATCTGTATGCAGTATTTTTATTTTAAATCTATCCTGTTTGAATAGTATTGTAAGATTAATAATAATTATTTTTAAAGTTATTTGAGGTTATGTTCGGTAAACAAAATAACAAGTTTTATAGATTTACTCTTTTTTTTTGTTTAAATTTTATTAAGAATATAAACGCAGTAGAATGTACAGCAGGTTGATCGTCAAGATTTCAGTTCCTGAAACAGAAGAAATAGGTGGTTATATCTACCAAAACATTTAAAAATGTTATTAAATGATGTTCAAAATAATCAGAATTGAACAATCTACACGATGTTAAGTGTTGTACGCACTATTCGGTCCGCCCGTTCGTACGATCATCACGAAATACATTTCCTTGTGAATTATTTTTAGTTTCAATTATATATTTAAAAAATTACCTGCATACTTATGCACACAGGACACAAGCACCTCCAACTGCCTTGATTTTGTCTTCTGCCAATTTACTGAAAAATTTGGCTTTAACAATAACTGGTTGTTTAGGAAGGTGTCCTTTTCCTAGAAGTTTGTAGTATCCCTGTGAAAGATAAAAATATAAATATATTTATCAATTGCAAGCTACATGTAAAAGCATATATTTAAAGTCTTACCGCTTTTACAAGATCAATTACTGGTACTTTAGTTTCAGAATTCTTATACTTAAGTCTGGTTTGCTCTGACACTAATGTCCACAACTTATCCAAATTTAAAGCAGGGCACCACTTTGTATTGCGTCTCAAATGGTAATTTCGCATACCAAGCTGAAAATTAAAATATCATATATATACTACTATTCAAGCTTGAATAATACAATTTGATATTTATTAAATTCATCAGATTATAATATGCATTCAAAGTAATTCAGTTCGCCGGTGAAATAATGACAAATTAAATATCATCATTTAACATAGCATTTTATAAATGAAACGTATGAAATGACTATAGCTACCTTTCCAAAGTAACCAGGATGGTATTTGTCAAAGTTAATACGGTGATGATGCATGCCACCAGCATTACCTCGACCACCAGGATGCTTCCTGTGCTTACCTAAAATAAAATAAAACATTCCCTTATCGATCAGTTACTTTTGCTGCGACGTAGAATTATTACTACGCAAACAGAACTACAATTTGGTTATATTACATACAGCAGCTTACCTATACGACCATGACCATGGCTGACATGACCACGGAGCTTCCTGGTCTTCTTCTTATGTGTAGACTGTTGATTAAAAAGAAAACAAACAAATACAAGTTAAGCGTCATTAAAACTTGCAAAAGTTGTGGAACATTTGTTTCATCGAAAAGGTTATGTTCGAGATCAACGTAGCAGAACAAGGGCTGGCATATTTACAGTCAGTATCAAACTATTCGAAAGGAAAATAAATCAAGAAAACAATTTATCGAGGTTTCAATGAAATCATAATCAACATTAATATTGCATTTCTACACGGATGGTTTCGATAATATTGGATTATAGAAAAAGAATTTAAACGCAACGCACTCACCATCGTGGTCACGATTTGAAGAAAGAAGAGCGTGGCCTCTCGTGGAAGTTGTCAGTTTTAGTTCAGATGGCGTGTGTGTTTATCAAAACCAGAAATTATAAAATCAACCAATTAGAAGATACTAGGGAAACTCTACTAGGATACTGATCGTGCAATTTGCTGAACAGGGCCTAAACTGACGTCATTACTTTCATACAAACTGCACTTTACTTCCGTTTAATTGTGATACAAGTCATATTTTTTGTGAAACAAATGTATAGAATTTTTGAAACGAGTATTCTTTTATTAACGATAATTTATTGTATCATCTATTTGCTAGAAAATGAAAAGGATGTTTGCATCGGACGATACGAGATGATCCCATTGGTCAGCCATCTTGATTCGAATGAGTTTCACTAATGAAAATGGTACTTTAAGTTTTACTTAGTGTAATATCTAGCAATTTTGGAATGATTCGTGGTTCGATTGTACGGATAGTCGTTGCAGACCGGGTTAGAAGAAGAGGTAGGAATTTGTAGATTTCGTATAATTTATTTGTAGTGGTTTCGTGCTAATGGACATTTGAAGGCAAGATTCGACTTCTTTACGCGAAAAGGATTCCGTTGGGGAACGGTCGGCAACTTGTGAGAAAACTGAGCGAGCATAAGGAAAATCTTGAAAACGGATCAAGATGCAGGAATCTCAACCGAAGAAAGGCAAGAAAGGTAAGGAAATAGTGGTACTTTTTATTCATAGATGTCGTGAAGCAACAAGAAAATAATCTTTTTAATAATCCATATACTCGTCTGCCTTTTTTCATCAATTTTTAGAATTAATTTCTCACGTGAGAAATGTCGTCTGCTTCGACTTAACCTCAACCTAACCGCTTTTCTGTTACATACGGAAAGAATTACGATGGATTTTTAGTTTTTCCATTGTGTTCATAGCTTAACAGATCGAAGTTCAGCTTGTCTGCTTCATTTTACAACTCTAAGAAGCGATAAATATATTGTCGGTTTTGAAAAAATGTAACACTTTGGTTGTTGGAATACATATTTTATAAATGTTCGAGGATGCCGTTAGATAACACGATTCCATTCTTTGTCGAATATAAATATGTTAAGGATGGTATAGTCGTCGTCTATAACCTCATGTCATATAAACTTTTGGCAAGTATATAAATTGTTGAAATATGCATACTATTAGTGGAAAGTGAAAGTTGTTCAGTTGTGAACCAGATTGTGAAAGTACCATAAATGGCAGATTGGAATTTGGTGACCTGTTATTCGGTATTATATTGTAATTTAAGTCGTTTTGGACATTTTAGCTGCTCAATTATCTGACATTGCAATTACATAACAGAATAAAATTTACTTCATAACGAAGAGAATAAATTTGTTTTATTTTAAATATTTTGTAATTCTCCTTTAATAACAGCCAGAAGAAAGCGCAATGATAGCGAAGAAGATATTGAGAAGGTATTGGCTGAATTGCAACTAGAATATTCTGGAGAGAAACCAGATGAACTAGTTGGGAAAAAGGCTGAGTCAGTCGAGAAAGATGATAAGCCAATTGAGAAGGAGAGTACTGACAATGATGTGGACAAAAAGAAGAAGGAAAAGAAGGCTAAAAAGAAGGAAAAAGGTGATGCTATAGATATTAAAGAGGAGCTGAAAGCTGCTGCCCTTCTCGACGAGAATGATATGGATGATGATGCTGAAGTTAGTACTGTAAAAACTGCTGCACAAAAGAAAAAAGAGAAGAAGGAACGGGAGAAACAGAAGAAACTTGCCCAAAAGAAAGGAGTATGTAGTACATATTCTATAATTTTGTTTGCATTTAGGATAAATTATATAATTTGTTATGTTTATTCTGATTACAACAGGAAATAGCCAAACAGATAGATGGGGATGAAACAAAGGAGGGAGTTCCAGAAAAGGGAACAAAGAAAGAGCCAGAAGCAAAAGTAACAGATGCAGCAGAAGCAGATTCTACGACACTGGAAACTGATGATGGAAAGAAGAAGAAAAAGAAAGGGGTCAAGGAGGAGGTGGCAAAAGAAAAAGGTAGCAAGTGGTTTTGTTAGTTTTTTAATACAAGAACCTTGACGCAGTCTGTGTTTGTTAGGATGTAACATTAATGCATGTCTACATTTAGTATAATTAGATATGTGCAATAGGCAAAGGTCCTGGAAAGAAGACTATCGCGGCCATGCAAGAAGCATTGAAAAAATTAAAGGAAGACGAGGAAAGGTTAAAACTGGAAGAACAAGAACGGTTGCGACAAGAAGAATTACGGGAGCAAGCGCGATTGGAGCAGGTTCGTCTTGAACAGGAACGCAAAGAGAAGAAGAAACTTAAGGAAAAACAGAGAAAAGAAAGGTTAAAAGCGGAAGGAAAACTTTTGACAACAAAACAAAAGCAAGATAGGGCAAGAGCCCAAGCGATGCTCGAAGCGCTTAAAGCTCAAGGTTTGCCCTTACCGGATGTAGCAGACAAGAAACATAGACCAGGTAATTAAAGATAGCTCGTGTAAAGTGGCATTAAAATAAATAACAAAGCGCCAAAAATGTAATGCATATTGGTTCAGGAACCCGTATAAGACCGAACAAAGTGAAGCAACAAGTTAGCATCGACGAGAAGGATGACGGAAAAGTGGAGGAGAATGCAACAGATACCGATAAAGTTGAGGTAGAAATCGTAGACCAGCAGTCAAAAGAAACGGAAGAGAAGACGGAGGACATCAAAGATTCCTGGGATGCTGAGAGTAGCGAAGATGAAGGTATTATCCGTATATAATTGCGAATATATATACATTTATTTAATAGAATATATTTTGACGACATATCATTTAACAGACAAATCGGAAGAAGCGTCGAAAACACCTGAGAAGGGTAAAGCGATCCGTTCGTCCGATAAAGCAAAAGTAACGCAAACCGAGACAAGTAGGAAGGAATCTTCGGAAAGCGAATCGGAAAGCGACAGTGGCAGCGAATCGGAAACTGAAGAAAGCGAGGATGACAGTGGGTTAGAAGACAAAGTATCGGATGCAGCAAGGAAAAAGGAACGCGCTAGAGAACGAATACAACTTCGAAGGATAGAAGCGGAGAAGAACAAGTCGCTGGATAATCTTCGAGCTGCCGTAGTGTGCGTCTTAGGTCACGTCGATACTGGAAAAACAAAGATCCTTGACAAATTGAGACGGACGAATGTGCAAGACGGCGAAGCAGGCGGTATAACTCAACAAATCGGTGCAACGAACGTACCTATCGATGCCATTCAAGAGTCAACGAAACACGTTAAAGGAGTAAGTTGTCGCAAGTATCACGTGTACCGTTGAATAGGGCATTATTCGAGTAATTTCGATCGTGCAATTTCTTTTTTCAGTTTGCCGATAAGAAGTTCAAAATTCCTGGATTGTTGATTATAGACACTCCTGGTCACGAGTCCTTTAGCAATTTAAGAAACAGAGGATCCTCTCTTTGTGATATAGCGATATTAGTAGTAGACATTATGCATGGTTTAGAGCCGCAGACTATCGAAAGTATTAACTTACTGAAAACGAAGAAATGTCCTTTCATCGTAGCTTTAAATAAAATTGATAGGTGAAGTATTTAAAGTTAATAGCCATACGATTACTCGCGTTGCGAGTACGAATTGAATAAGCATAAAGTAGCGATAACATAATTTTCGCAGATTATACGACTGGCAAACTATGAGTCGGAAAGATATTCAAGATATATTGAAAAGCCAAGCGATCAATACGCAACGAGAATTCGAAACACGTTCGAAGGAAGTGATCGTGCAATTTGCTGAACAGGGCTTGAACGCTGCATTGTTCTATGAAAACCCTGATCCTAGAAGTTACGTTTCCCTTGTTCCCACTAGCGCTATTACAGGTGTGTTAACACGTTATATACATTTTTTAGATAGTATACGCTATAGAAATTCTTGAACGCGGAATAATGGTTACTCTTTACGCGTAGGTGAGGGGATGGGGAACCTGTTGTTGTTAATAGTAGAGGCTTGTCAAGGCCCGCTAGCTAAAAGACTCATGTACAGCGAAGAGCTCCAAGCCACAGTTTTGGAAGTGAAAGCATTGCCAGGTCTCGGCACTACGATAGATTGTATTCTAGTCAATGGAACGTTGAGAGAAGGTGAAACGATGATAGTTGCTGGTACAGATGGTCCTATAGTGACTCAAATACGTTCGCTCCTTATGCCGCAGCCATTGAAGGAATTGAGGGTCAAAGTAAGAAATATTTAAAATAATATATGAAACGTATATCGTAACGTCGAATCAAGTTGAGAAACTTTTGTTCAGAGTGTACTTTCCAACGTGATATTTATTATTATTTGCAGAGTGCGTATATTGAACACCGAGAGGTCAAAGCCGCGCAAGGAGTGAAAATCGCTGCGAAGGACTTAGAGAAAGCAATCGCGGGTGAGGAATATTCTATTATTATCAGAGTTGTAACATCTCGGGGAAGTAGACTATTTAATTTGTTATGTATAGGATTAAACCTCCAAGTGGCTCAGAAACCTGACGAGGTGGAGATCCTAAAGGAAGAGATCGCGAAAGAGTTGTCCAGCGCTCTAGGCAACATCCGTCTCGCGGAACGTGGAGTTTACGTGCAGGCGTCGACTTTGGGTGCGCTGGAGGCGTTGCTGGACTTCCTGAAGAGCAGTAAAATACCGGTGAGTTTTTTCTGCTATTAATATTACGGTTATATCAGAGGAATATAAGCATATAGTTGAAGCGAGCGAAAGAAATATTTGCACATCGAATATTCTGTTACATACGCGTACGGGGGTCTTCTCTGCGGTTCAATTTTAGTCGTACATCGTGAAGTGCAAAATTAAAATATTTTATTTAGTGCAATTTGGCCGTACTTGAAATAGCATTCGGAATACTTGTCGAGTACAGTTAAGTAGATCTATTGACGCAACGTAACGGCTACGTCCAATCGTTGCATTTTTAAAATCTCTGGGGACTGGCCTATTAATCAGTAGCGCTACGTTATACCCCGTCTTGTTGGCGTTTCTTTCATCGACCTTTCGCGCGATCTTTATATTCAATGATGGAACCACGAAGTACCGAGTGA